AGCGTCCAGCAGGACCTCTCCGCCGGGTGGGTAGTACTGTGGGGTGGCGGGGGGACCGGGGAGCCACCCGCAGCCCGACGGGAAGGGGGAAGCAGGTGACTGGGGGCTGGGGGGGCGGGGACTGACCCGGCGGGCAGGAGGAAGAGGAGGAGACTGCGAGACCCTCGGGGGGGGCTCTTCCCTCTCAGCGGCGCCGCTTGGCACTGGTAGTGCCCTCCTCGGCCCTAGGACGGGCTGGAAGTGCGGCCCCTGGGTCTAATCCACCCCCCACAGCCCCTCCCGCCGTGACTGAGGGGCTAAAAAAAAGCCCTGGCAGCTGTGTGGCAGCCTGCAGCTGAGGGGAGGAGGTGCCTTGGTGTTCGGGAGGCAGCTGCGGTCAGGGGACAGAAAGGGAGACTGTTGGGAGAGGAGGAGGAAGATGTGAATGGGGTCAATTAACGCGCTTGAATTTTTTATGAAGTAACTGACCTTCAAGGTTTTATGGATCAGCGCAATTGATTAAAGGGCGTTGCTGTACTCTGCTCGGTATAAAGAAATTTTTTGTTGTTGTTGTTTGGAGGATGAGTTATTGTCGCTTGGGGAAAAGAAACACAGGATTAGCGGAAGGAGCAGCCCCTTGCTTATGTTAAAACGTAGGAAGATACTCCTCCTATGGTGCCTCACAAGGTTTCTTTAGATAGGCCTTGTATCGGTGCTGTTTTTAGTACAAGCAGGTGGTCCAAATGAGTGTTACTGTAAGGCCATGGATGGCTGGAGAACAAGGTCGTGCCTGTGCTGCAAAACTGTTTCATAATGAGCCACAGGAGAGTATCGTGTTGTAATCAATTGCCTTGAAAAACTGAGTGGTCTTTGGTAGTGTTGAGGCTGCCTTATAATACCCCTATAGTAAATATTTATACATAGCAATGGATGTCTGTGTACTCCAGAAACTGAAAATAAATAGTTTGTAAAGACTAGAGATCTAGAGAAATTGATAGAATAAGCTACCAATCAACCGGATAAATTGCTTGTAAGTCATCTGCCTCATCTTAAACTAAGTGAAATTTAAAATGTTTTAAGAATATAGACAAAGGTATTGCTTTGTTGCTGTCTGTCTTTCTGGTTTGCTGTTTTTTTTAGAACTTCTCATAGGGTTTGACGCCTCAGAACAGTGTAAGGTTCTCTTGAAAAAAGTGGGTTTTCATGTGATGAAAGAGGATAACAAAAAGGTCATAACACGCTGGATCTGATGGTCATTTATATCTCCGTGTTACTGCAGTGAAGTCAATGTGTTTCCATGTGGTCTCTAATTTGCTGTCTTCCTTGTATTGCAATGGTTTGTTTCATTTAGAGAACAATCTCTGATTTCGTCATTTCCATCTTTGTGTTTCAGCAGCTCCGTTAATGTGCCCTTCTAGGAGTGTCCCATCTTTAAGTGTTATTTTCATCTGCAGTGTAATCTTTGTTACTATTGGGAGTCTGTATCTCAGAGCCAGAGTAGCAGAGGATGTGGGGAAAGCATCAGGTTTTTTCCTGTAGTGTCCTCATGGATTCTGGCTAGAACATGACTTGTCCTGATTTGCCCTCTTTCC